CAAGAAAACAAAACACAGGGCTTAAAAAGACAAAAAGTAGGTAGATTTATCCCCAATACACATTTTTACCAGTGAAAAGCAATAATATATAAGCATTTAATATTTATACATGTGATAGAATCAGATCACCCCAGAAGTCAGTCCCACATCCAGGGCCGTATCAAGGCATTTGGGGACCAAGGCTAAATAGACTTGGAGCCCCCACCACCTCACTCCCTGCTCAGTTAATATAAGATGGCAACGTGCTGAGAGTACAGATTGTTGTTTCATTTATTTCATAAACAGTCCTTCTAAAGATCTGTTTTTAACAGCAATCCTAGCTCAGACACCACATCACCTCCCACCGGATGTGTCATGAGTTCACCAGGCATCAGATTACCAAACTCATACTGAAGTTATTTTCTTGAAAGTAACTTAGAGTAATGTAAAAGTAGTGTAATGCCTTACAATTTAAAATCAGTAATATTGTAATGTAATGAATTACTTTAAAATGAGGGTAACAAGTAATAAATAATGCATTACAGTTTTGAAGTAACTTGCCCAACACTGCAGATGAGTAGATAAATGCATTGTCATAGCTGGTGCTAGCACTCTTGGGTGTGGGTAACACTCATTACTCTTATTACGGTAATATGCCTCCGGCATAGAGGAAGTATTGTTTTTACCGTCTGGCTGTTAGCTTGCTGCTATTGCTCTGAACGACTCGTTAAAGGTAAAACTCCATGTTTGACTCATTATTCCAGGCACACACGTTTCATTATAATATTGAGTTGTTTGTAATTGAGAAAGCTTGAGATATTTTTATAGCTGACTATTTGCTTATAATTCGCCGTTAGCATGGTTAGGTCAATGTTAGCCTCTAGCCTTCTTTACCAGATTTTAGAGTAAAACAAAAAGATTCAGTGACTCCTTATAGCTCTTTTCCATTGCCTGGTCTGGAACAGTCAGGTCTGGGTATTATGTACCGGTATGTACCGGTATGGGTCTAGAAGTTTTCTGGCAAGCGTTTCTATCGCATTCCAGGCTCCAGTTACTAGGCGGGGTGGCGTAATGCGTCACACGCGATTAACGTCACACCGCGACAAGATCGCGCCAAAACACAACAACAATGGAGTCCAGTCAGCAGCGCGTTCTTTCTGTTCTTGGTGTTTGGTATATTCTTTACACCCACATCACGATAGCGTTTAGAGCTATGCTGTGCGCATCGAGGAGGAGGGCAGCTGAAAGGTGACGACGCTTTCTGAAATTAATATCGGACACGAGGCATAACTTTCTACTGTTGAGACAAAGACGGAGGCGCCAGGTGGTAAGTAACTTCTAATGCTGTAATACATGTCGTTATAATCTCTGAGGGGGTGTCTAGGGCAACTATCAAAAAAGAAAAACAAAAAAAAAAACACCAAAATCAAATGGTTTTGTTGTATATTGATTGTTTTTAAGACATGCTAAACATGGAAGGCCAACACCTAACTATGCAGGTTTCAAACAGCTTCTGCACACATGGTGATGCTAGTCAACACGAGGGCCTGAATCCTTCACTCTTTACTTCCTGGGCATGTCATAGATAAGTTGTGCAGCTAAATTGAAATTATTATAATTAATTATATAGGTAATTACAAGCAATACCACATTTGTGCATTCAATAAAGTGAACAAAACATAGCCAGTCACTGGTAGCTCCATAAAGAACAGCTGTTATTTTAACCTTAAACAAATTCTATTTATGTGAACTGTATGTCTATAACCATACTGTTTCAATCTTTTTCACTGCACTATTGTTTTTAGTTTTACTGTGTTATGACTGTTTTAATTTTTTAATTTTTTTAGTTGGCTCTTTTGAATCAGCGACAGCAACCAACTGTGTGGGCCTTCAGCCGTGCCAGCGCCTTCTGGGATGTGACCATGCCAAACTTCACTCCGTCAGATTGGATAACTCATTTCAGAATGTCAGAAGAGACCTTTTCATATCTTTGTTCCAAGCTCCGTCCAGCCATGCAGAAGAGGAACACCAACTTCAGAGCCTGCGTGCCACTCAGGAAAAGAGTTGCAATTGCACTGTGGAAGCTTGCAACTAACAGTGAATACAGGAGCATTGGGCTTCTTTTTGGTGTCAGCACGACCTCTGTGTGCCGTTGTGTGCAGGACTTCTGTAAGGCTGTCTGTAAAATCTTGCTTGCCGAGGTTATTGCTTTTCCAACGCTGCAAAAGCTTCAGGAAATGGCTGACTATTGTGAGACCAGGTGGGGGGTTCCTCAGTGTGTGGGTGCCATCGATGGTTCCCATATCCCAATAATAGCACCACAGGGATTCCACACAGACTACTTCAATAGGAAAGGTTGGCATTTCATAATCCTCCAGGGCATTGTGGATGGCAGAGGCATGTTCTGGAATGTTAATGCAGGTCAGCCAGGTAGCTTACATGATGCCCGTGTGCTGCGATTGTCCACATTTTGGGACTTGGTTGCTCATGGACAACTGCACCCAACTAGCACCAAGAACATTGAGGGAGTAAATGTAGGCTTTTATGTGCTAGGGCACTCTGCCTATCCTCTACAGAACTGGCTCCTAAACCCATTTTCAGATAATGGTCGTCTCACTGCTGAACAACAGACGTCCAACAGGAAAACGTGCAGAGCCAGAGTTGTGGTCGAAAATGCATTTGGAAGGCTAAAGGGTAGGTGGCGATGTCTTCCCAAGAGAAACGACAGTGATGTAGAGCTTCTTAAATACATGGTGCTGACCTGTTGTGTGCTTCACAATATCTGTGAGAGCCATGGGGAGGAATATGTAAAATGTGACGCACCTGCTGATGAACGAGTGGTTGCAACAGTGGCGGCTGGTGAAAAATATTTTTGGTGGGGCTGTGCTATTTTTTTTTAAACAAACTTGTGCTTTCTGAGCTTTGTGCACAACTTCACTATTTCCTGAATTAAGCACAGCTCTTTTATTTCCTGTCTTACATCATTGGACAAACTGATTAATCCAGGTGTGTCTGACTATTGGCACGCTGCCTTGCGGACCAAGGTTGAAAAATACTGCATTAAATTGCACATAAAATAACATGACCATATATGGTAAATAGGCAATGCAAGAGGCAAGTAACAAAAACATTTTGTTTAATTTCAACATTTGAGTGAACACGAAAAATTATGAGCAGGTCACTGTTACAGTAATGGTAGTAAACACCACTTAGACAAAATGCCAGAAATTTACACTGTTAGGACTTATGGAAAGTGGAAACACTTTCATAGGAAATAATGTCATCAGTATCCTCTTACAAATGTCATATTTCCCACTTCCCAAGCTGGGAAATTTGTTTGCTGCAGCAGAAGTGTAACAAGTAAAATGGAATCAGATTGATGTATGTACAAATTTACTTGAAATACACATTTACATGATTAAATATGTATAATAGGTATGTGTGTTGAAATTAGTTTTTACAGTTATTGCACATTAAACAATGTACATGTTATTAAACAAATGTCCCGGTTTGTGGGACAACCAAGGATTTCTGATTCTGATTGTCTTGTTTACAGAAATGTAATGTACAGCTTACCTCTGCACCCAGCTGCTGTTCTCCCTGTCCAAACGTCCTCCGTTTCTTTGTTGGCTGCTGCACTGATGCGCTGCATTCCTCAGTCAGAGAATGAATGGAGTCCCCAATGAGACACAAGTTCCACATCCACCTTCAGTGGATCCCAGCCGTTTTGAATAACAAACACAGAAAGCAAAATAACGCATTAGCGTGATTGCATCCAGCTAGCCACTGCTTCCTGGTGTAGCAATTTTGGGAGAAGCGTTGTGTGTACAGTTTACCCTTCTCCTTCTCCTGCTGGCTTATCTTTACGTCGGGCTGATCTGGTCCAAGCTCTTAGACATTAAGTTTTTCCACCATAGTTCTCCTCTCGAACGGATACTGGAGGAGACCGAACTGAATTCAGTGGCTGCTGAGATCCGGTATCCATGTTGTAGGCGCACTGTCTACGTCTGCGTCACGACCGTCAAAACGTGCTAGAGTCGAGACTCTCCGAGTTCTACCGAACATCAACGAAAGCCTTGGCGGTAGCTCTATCGCCCATCATGCTTCTGAAGCGTTCTGAAACAACGTCGACGCTGATTGGATACATTCCCATTCCTACCCTTTGATTTTCTTGTCAGCAATTGGACAACTGGTCCCGTCCTGTTTGGGCAATTGAAAAACAGCACACAGCCTCCACCGCTCGGCAGAGACCGGCAAAGATCGGCAGAGACCGACAGAGACCAATATAGATATATATACATATATGATTTATTTTTGTTACAAAACACACAATTAACTTAGAATATGTGATTATTGTTAATTTTATTTATTTATTTTTTAAAATAAAAATTAAAAACACAGGGGAAACTGGGAGGGTGGCGCCCTATCGCCCTCTACTGGCCAGCCGCCACTGGGTTGCAAATGTGCAGGAAGTTGCAGAGGAGGGCAGTGATGTGCGTGAAGCTCTGATGCAACACTTCAACCACTGACCTCAATTTGTGTTTTTTCTTTCCATTTACTTTTTATTGTTTTGACACTTTTAACTTGGAAATGTGTAGTTTGAAATGAAATGTTTGTTTTATTTTCAGATCTTAATAAAGTACACTATTTTACTTTTGACAAACTGTTGCACCTTTCCATTTTAACATATATTTAAGGTGGGCTGTAATGTAATCTACATTTATTATGTAAATTTAAATTTGCGAGCAAAATTATTTTCAAGACTATTCATGCACACCTTGTTTTTCTTTGAAATTTTATTGATAAAAAGGACAAACGTGGGATTAAAAAACTGCAGGACAAACACACAGCTCCTTACTGCCTGGGTGGTGGCAGGAAGTCAGAGGAGCTGCCCATTCTTTGTGCGACCAGTCCAAAAACAGCATTTAGGGCACCCAAATGTTCAAAATATCGCTCTGCGATCTGTAATTCATGTTGCCTTGCTGCTGCAGCGTCTTGTTGCATCCAGTTAACCTGCTCCCGGCTAAGGCATTCCATTCTGTCCATCTGCGATCTGCAACTCATCAAATATCATCTGAGTGCGTGCTTCCAATCGCCGTCTTCGGTAATCTGGAAACAACAACATTGGCAATTACATTTGTGTTTATATGGATAACAAAATGTCAGTTGTCCTGTGAACTTGTCAGTTTTGTTTATGCACAAAGCAATTTTTAGGATGGTCAGACACTACCTGTGCGTCGACGACATGGTAGATATTCCTCTCGAGTGGTAGTGGACAGAGGTGATGGTGGCATAGAAGGTCCTGGAGTGCTACTTGAGGAAGTGGATGGTTCCTCTGAAGAGGGAGTGTTTTCCACGTCAGATGTGTCTGAAAAACACAGATCAAAACATTAGTCAGTAAGAAAAGATAACGAAATAAATCAGTAAGAAAAGCAAAATATTTTTACAGTAAAAATGCAAATAGGCATATAGTAAACTTAATAAAACTACTATAAGTTAAGGCCATTTTGTCATTTGGAATGTGTCCACTAGATGGCAGTAATTCGCCAGTGACGTACAGATTAATTGCAATTTAATGTTATATTCTTATTCATTCGAAAAATGTGTACTTGTTAAAAGTCCACTCTAGGCTAAAAACACGGCTGGCACGACTTTTGGGATATTTATAATATTAAATCAGCTCGCTGCTCCTCACTGTGGGTGCTCAGCTGTATAAAGCAATGGAGATGCTAAAAACACTGAGATGCTAACGTGAAAGGCTAACTGATTTTGCCACATTTTAAACAATGAGACGCTAACAAGAAAGGCAAACTAACATGCTAAAAATGAAAGGCTTATATCACGAACAGCGTGTTAAAATACACAGGGGAATGCTAAATGAAGGTTAACGTAAACACGAGGGGATGTTAAGGCTAGTTAATACGAGGGGGTAAATCCTTTACTTGCTGAGCATTTCTTAAATAGGTGATTCTATTATTCAGTGTTTTTGGTGCTGCAATGAATGGCCTGCAGAGCTAAAAAGACAACAAAAGAAATGCTTACCAACAGGGTTTACGAGTGACTCCAGGATACTGGTCGCCGAGTCCAGGCCTCCTTCGCTGCCTCGGTTTGACGGTCTGTGTCCATAAATAGCATCCACCACATCTTACCACTTCCATGTACTTCGCCCACTCCCACTACGGCCGTTGCTGTCCTTAACGTTTCTGTAGTGGGCTTTTATTTTTTTCAGCTTCACATGACACTGTTCGGAGGTGCGCTGGAATCCTTCAGCTGCCATGCGCTGAGAAACTTCTTTGAAGACTTTCTCATTTCTTATCATCCCATCCAGCTCGGCCTGAATGTTGCTATCTCCGATGATGGTGAGGAACGTTTGAAGTTCCGCATTGGACCAAAAGCTATTACTTGCAGGCATTTTGGCGCACAAGGAGTACAGCCGAACACAAAAAACACTGGAACTCGACTCACTTCTTTCCATCCCCTGGGATTGTTGCGGGTAGTTACGTAATTTCTCCCCCAATCAGAGGACTCTGGACCTTTTACGCTGTGGCTCCGCCCAGACCAAAAATCTCTGGACCCACAACAGAAGGGGTCCCGCTCTGGCCCGCTCTGGCCCGGTCCGGGTAGGTTTCCTGGACTGGTTCAACAATCGAAACAAAATATTTAGCGACCCGATCTTTCCCATTCCATGCCAGTTTGGTCAGTGGAAAAGGCCCATTAGGGGTCCATGAAATAATTTTCTGGGTCACTCTTACTACTGGCTTCTTCTTTTTAAAAAGGCTGTAATTAATCTACGGCCAACAAAAGCTATAAATGCCTTTGCACCTGTTGGCCTTTTCTTTGCTGGTTGCTGCTTTGGATGCTTTTCCATACTTTGTAGAATTCACAAAAGCCCAGTTAGGGTTTCTGCAGCAAAGAAAAGGCCAACAGGCGTAAAGGCACCGTCATCCCATACGTAGCGGGAGTCTCAGAAACTTAGAAGAATCTTCTCCAAACACAACATCCCAGTAAACTTTGAATCCAACAACACCCTCAGACAGAAACTAGTCCATCCACAAGACAAAACACCCAAACAGAAGCTACATTTATGCAGTCCAATGTAGTGAGAACTGTCCAGATCTTTACATTGGGGAAACTAAACAACAATTACACAAGCGCATGGCACAACACAGGAGAGCCACCTCTTCAAGTCATGACTCTGCAGTCCACCTACACCTGAAGGACAAGGGACACACCTTTGAAGATGGCAAAGTACACATTCTGGACAGAGAAGATAGATGGTTTGAGAGAGGAGTAAAAGAAGCTACCTATGCCAAACATGAAAACTCTACTTTAAAAAGGGGAGGGGGACTTTGGTTTCACCTTTCCAGCACCTATAATGCAGCTTTGAATCTCATTCCTAAGCTGTTTCAGTCTAGGTCACACCTTCCTGCATCTAATCAACACAACGTCTCCCTCTCAATAGAGACTAACGACTCATCAGGGGATGGAGAGGTGGGGTACCCACAGTAAGTTTCTGCTAGTTAAATAACAATAGACAGCTACAGTTTATAAGCTTGACTCTCCCATATTCCAGTTAGAATTGACAAAGTTCCTCGGATGAGAAGCGAAACGTCTTCAAGAAACCAAAGAAGTCCAGTTGCCTTTGTTTGAACCCTTTGGATTAATTTGAATATATATTTTTTCACCCTGGGCCTAGTAAGAAAATGCACATCATGACAGAACTAAATACTAACCAGTGTGAAATTTAATTAACATTTTCCAACCAATCTTTTTTCTTTTTGACAAATTGGATTTCCTGTTATAACTGATGGAAGCCTGGCTGATAGGCCTGTAAACATGGCACATCATGATTTAGTAATGAAATATAACTCAGAAGGAAATTGAATTGGATGGAGGGCATCACTCATCATGCTCTGAGCTCTACTACAATTAGCGACGACACAGTGTGTGTGTGTGTGTGTGTGTGTGTGTGTGTGTGTGTGTGTGTGTGTGTGTGTGTGTGTGTGTGTGTGTGTTGTTATTGTCCAAGCACACTAATGTACCGTAAGTCCCTGTGCATGTGTGTTTTGTTATTAATACATATTTTAGGTACGTTTTTTTAGGTACGTATAAATCCATTTATTACAGCCAAAACAGATAAAAAATGTACAAACTAAAATCTGTTGTGTGTGCGGTGAGTTACACATGACAAACCTTTTACAATACACAGATTATTCAGTCTTATCTTAATTCTGTTTATTATTATTTAAAATCAAATAATTGTCAAAAATAAACATGTAAGGCGGGACCATGTCAGCCCAGTTTCTGTGGCCCTTCACTGGCTTCCAGTTTGCTATACACCAACTGACACATGACATCCCGTGTCCACGCCCCCACTCCCCAGCCCCTCCTCGTTAACCACCATTGTGTTTATCTGTTAGTTGTCAATAAACAGAGCTAACATATAACACACGTAGCCTGCATAAGTAGATGGACGGAAACGTGTGTGAAACTGACAACGCGGTGTTGTGTGTAGTTATGTATTACTGTTTCTTATCTTGATTTGACTGTGTTCAGCACTTTGGTCTCCCAAAGAGTCTACAGTTAAAACTGACTTAAATGCTGACATAAATTTTGGTTTTACAAGTTTTATAGTCCTAAGAAATATTGATTTACTAAATAAATTTTTTAACATACAAACATTTTTCACTATGTTATCTGCAACAACTGACCTCAAGACGAATGTAATCACTTTACTAATGTCATGCTAATTTAGTAAAGAAGTATTTCAGCTTTAAAAACATGCAGCTACAATGAACAGGTAACAATGGCTCGATTACATCCTAATCCTCAAGGTTTTTCCTTTTTTGGCATTCTTCGTTATTTTTCCCTTCCTTTCACGTGAGACTTTTCTGTCAGCAAGTTCTCAATCCAATTTGTTTAGCTAATAAAGAACTCTCCACATTACAGCATAGATTTGCTTGCTAAGAGTCAACAAAAAGCTCTGCGTCTTCTCTATCAACCCCTTACAATCCCACCTAGAACCGAGGGATTACTCACTGAGTGATAGTCAGCAGGGCAGACGAAGAGGTGGAGAGAGAGAAAATTAGATGTTGGCAGAGGGAAAGATCGAGCGCAAATGGTACAGAGAAAAGAATCAAAGGATCTATAGAGAGTGAATCAGGCAGTGAAGGGAGGAATGCAGTATATGGTTGGGGAGGCGATTTATTCAGAGGTAATCCCAAAAATTCAGGGCTTTGTGCAGTCCATCTTGGATGCAGAGGCAGGAGGATGGAAGGAGGCCAAAGGACAAATGAATAAAGGTTAAAGTAATGGAGGGAGAGTGACGATGATGAAATCATAAAGAAAGGGGTGTAAAGGCAGGCAGAGTAAACAGGAATCAAAGAGAAAGACGAATGGATATAGGCAGAGAAGGGGAATTAAACAGTGCTTTGGTGAAGTGGATAGGAGCCAAAGGACCACTAACAACTTCTGATTCTCTGAAAGGATCACTCTGATGGCTCGCAGTCTGCTAATTCGACTTTAATGGAAGCATTGTCATCACATAAGAACACATAAGTGATAACACAGTCTGCTGGTTTGGATTATGTAACGCACAAAATAATTCCCAAAGCATTGTGTTTTGATTTGAAAGTTAATATTTGAAATTCCAAGTATCCTCAGCAGTTTTACTTCTGAATATTGTCTATTGATCATAGAGAATATCTCGTATGTGTGTCAGGGTTAGGGTGACGTTTTCAAAGTTAGGGTGTTCTCAAGTTGCCCTCATTTATTTTGCAATGTTTCCACATTTGACCTGTCAGATTTCCCCTTTTTGCCTCCTATCAGTTCCAGTTTGGACTCTCCAGTTCCCAAATCTAAACTAAATCACATTTCCCAGAACACGGAAACAAAGTCCTTTTGCCTTCAGCACCCCCTAGTGTCCGTTATTAATTATCTGTGTTCAAACCAAAAGTGAAACCTATCTCCTTGCTGTGTGTTCATCTTTTTAACACAATCTAACAGCTGAAATGTCTCCTCATCCTTCTTTAGGGTCTGCAGGAGTGATTCATCACTACATTAAACAAATCAGCTGTGTTCATGATCTAAAACATGCAAGAAATGGGTTGGAAGCAGACTGCAGCGCCACATATGTTAGCTCAGTTTTTGTCAAGTGTAACAGGTGTCGGCACTCTGAAGTTACAAATGCGGTATCCTGGCCACAGAGTGTGGTAGGGGTCTGAGTGGCATTTCAATAATAAATCTATCAAAACTTTGTTTATAAATCACCGTTCATACATAAAATGTGACTTCAAGTACTTAACAGAATAAGATGACTCCAAATTCCCACATTCATATGATTTTCCCCACAAAAATAAAGCAATAAAACTAATTATGGCCCCCTTCCTCAAACCCCTCTCCCAAACACACACACACACACACACACACACACACACACACACACACACACACACACACACACACACACACACACACACACACACTCAAGCGTATACACATTTAATAGCATAACAACACTCAGCTGAGCTCAGATGTGCCAGATAGGATAAGGAGATGCCACCAGGGTAGTCATCTATCCTGACAGCACCAGAAACGCAGCAGCCTTTGTGCAGACACAGGGTGCCCAAACAAGTTAGGTCTGAGAGTTCCCCACCTCCACCCAGGGTCTACCCGGAAGAGCACCGCCGCTGCCGAAGCAGAGGGCTCCCACAGAGGAAACACTGGATGATTTGAAAAATGATTTTAAAATGAAAAAGTTGCAAAGTATCCTTTTAGGACATTTTTGAAACACCCTCGTGAATTTAATCTTTATTTTGTCACCAACATTTCCGGCTAAGTGAGCTCCTGACTGCAATAATGCATTTCTGTTATGGCCTTTTCTAGCATAGATCTGGTCCACCTGAGCCTCTTTTGTGATGATTTTGAGATTTTCTTTTTTTTTTTTCTCAATGTTCAGAGTTTGGGACATTTCACAAATAAGTGATTTGTATCTAATCTTTGAATTCATAACCTTACCCTTACTGTATTCGTTTGTAAATCTGAACAATTTTCTCCTGGAAAAATACTTTAAATTAGACACAACCAAACCTAAATTTTACTTCCATACATTCATGGATGGGAGTACTTCATTTTAAATCATGAATCAGCCAACACATTTTATTATCACACTA